CCCCAAAACCCCAAAACCCCAAAACCCCAAAACCCCAAAACCCCAAAACCCCTTCATCAGCCTCACTTATAGAATAGAACATGGCTTCTTGGGACCCTGAAAGTCTGAGAGGATGGGAAGGGTTGGGTGTGGAGGTAGGAAAGGGATTGAGGGAGGGGTTATGGGGTTGGGGTTATAGGGGGATTGGAGGGGGTGTGAGGAGAGGGCAGGGGTGTGTTAGGAAGATGGGGTGTAGAGAATTAGGGAAATAAGGGTCTTAAAATAGATTTGTGGGAAAACTTATTGGAGAATTAAATTTACTCTGACAGTGAACTCTCAAGGTCTATGGTCTAAAATATCTCCAAATTCTTAAACTGAACATGAAGTCTAATCCTTAGTACTTTGTTTTCTCCAAGACCTCTTCACTTGAAGAAGTTTACAAAAAGTTAATGTTTGAAGCATAAACTGAGGTTAGGGAAAATTTTTTAAGGAATTTCAGCATAAAAAATTTTGATAGCAAAAAAAATCTTCTTGAATAGAAATTTTACAAAATTTAGAAGGAAAATAAGACATTTTGGGAAAACAAGAGTGGCCATTTAGGAGCTAAGGGGCAGATTAGGCTAGATACAAACAGCCAGATAGTTTACAGAGCTGGGAGAAAGGTATTTGTGAATTTTTTAAAGAAAATTTTGGTGTAAAGTAAATACACTTTAAGCTATACCAAGAATCTATTGCGCTTTTTGTGAGGAAAATAGCATAAGTATCTTTAAATAACTTTCTAGAATTAACGAATCAAAGCGAATAAAATATAAAGAGAATTCGCATTACTTTCTGATAAAATTTTTAGACAACAAAGATTCCAGAAAATTGTTACAAATTATACTATTTTTGGGGAAGATCTACTTTAAAAATCGTTGATAACAAGATTATATTATCATTTTTGCACTCTTCTCTCGCTTTATTCCTATATGCATATATTAGTATCAATCTTGGATTTAAAGGAGTAAATTTTTTAAAAGCATTATACATCCAAACAACAAAAATAACGGAGTGACTTCACAAAAGATTTACTTATATCTTGAACAATTCTTAAATAAAATTAAATGCCCATATTTCTGGAATTTAAGAGCATTAATAAAGGAATCAACCAAAATTTGAAGGCTATCAGAAGGACTGGTTTATACCTTTACCTGAGCCTGATGAACCTCTACTTGTGACCCCAAATCTTGTATGTCCAATACTTGTTTATGGAAAGGAAATGCTCCAAAAGCATGATCAAAAGTCCTTCGTATTTCAAGAGAATCTCTTGAAGACTATCTTTTGAGCTATCCTTCATGTAAAATAATGAGTATAACCATTGTTAAATTCGCGTATCTTCCTAGGAATTTAAAAGCATAGCCACAGTACTAAACGAAGTATATCTAACTTTGCAGATATCCTTGAAAGCTTCTCATCGTAAAGGAATACTAAAAGGCTGACACTTAGTAGAGTAATAGCAGACTTAGAGAGAAAATGCAATCGGATAAGCTGCTTAAGACTGTACTAAACTAGACAGTCTTAAGCAGCTCAGTTTACATTTAGTCTTCTTTATCTGTTCTTTCCTTCTTAGGCTTCTTCATCTTGGAACATTTCTTCATGATTCCTTTCATCTTAGCTGTTTGGATTGATCTGAGACGTGTCATAATCACTTTTTCATTGATCTCCTTGGCATTATTTTAATGTCACATGAAAAGCTGGCTTTATTAATTTAGTTGGGCACATGAACTTCTTCATTTCTTGACAAGTCTCCGCAGCACTTTTGTTTGTCAAGTCAATTCCATACCTAAACCTCTGTTCATAAGGACTAAACATTCTCTTAGCATTGCCTAGTACCTTCCTTGTCTCCTTCGACAAAGAAGTAAGCCTCGTCACTGCTGACTGACGAACAGCACTGAACCTTGAACTATAAATGTCTATTTTCTTCTTCATTTTTATAAAAATTGTTAGCTCTATTTTATATAGACTTGAGGGGTTTTGGGGTTTTGGGGTTTTGGGGTTGGGGTTTTGGGG